TCAAGCATCTTATTGCAGGTTACCCCATCATTGATATCAGTAAATGTAACTACAGAAGCGGTGCCAAGCGAACAACAACCGTCAAGTACTGGAGTTGCAAGATCAAGAGTAAGTAACACTTCCTGGGGGTTGTTTAAGACTAATTACAAAGAAATAAGCGTTGATCCCGCAAAACTCATACTTGCAACTGTGAAGATGACTTTATTGAAGAACAGCTTTCTTTCAAGATAAATAACAGCTTAATTCAGAATTTACCCTCTATAAATATTTTTCTTAACTTAGGACGTATCACGGGGGCCTGACGAGGATTACCCGGAACGTTTGATGAGCCCACCTCCAACAAAAGAACCGCGATCGATAATAAAACAAGGATATTATAGCAGTCAACAAAATTTGCACTCTAATAGCACAATGCAGGTGGATCGAGGAGATTTGAGATACTCACAGGTAGATAGTATAGTACACAGAGACTTCAAATAATCCTTTTTACTCTACTTGAAATCTACCGAATTCAGAGCAAAACCATAAACTTCAATGACCTTCCTGAAGAGCAGCGCTATCGTATAATGCAAGAAAATCTGGAACGGCTAAGGAGAAGTCGTGCTACCACGCCAAAACCTCCAGTAACCTCCTTTAATGGGCCATTTTTTAAGCTCGAGGAAGTTAGCACTTCAAAGTGAGTTCACTATAAACTCTGTTGAGCGATAATGAACTAGTTGTATAACTTTTTGCTTTAGAACTAACGAGGCAGTGATGTGTAATGGAGGCAACGATTATTCTCAACGAGAAATGACTGACAGTAGAGCTTCTTTTGCTGAGTCCAGGGTATTGTCAGCATCAGAAGCGGAGCTTTCTCAAATTAAGGTACAGCTTTAATTGTTCTTTCAAGGTTTTTTTTTCTGCTTTTAGAAACGCTAGCAAGTTTGTTAAGACCAGGTGATTACTCTTCAAAACATAATGCGTTGCGTATAAGAAGTTTTGAAAATCATAGTCTATTGGGCATATTCCAATAGTTCATCTACAAACCAAACACATATCAATTTTTGGTATTGTTGTGTTATGTGCATATACGTCACACGTGCCTAATTTACGCTTTGAACTTGCTACTAGTTCATCTTCACGTTCTCTTATATTGAAAACTTCTTCAACGTATGTGGAAAAATACCTATAGATAAGAAAAGTATCCAAAATTCTAAAGAGTGAAATACTTTTTCGACTATTTTGCGAATAATGTAAAGGCTAAAACCACCTTATAATTGTATTTGTGGGCGGATCAGTCCCAAACTGCAGCACTTCTCATTAAATTTGAATTTTGATTTTAAGGATGCATCAGTGGTGATATGGCCGCCACTTGGCGACAAAAAGCCCCGATCGCAGTCAGTAATGGCTAGAAGTGTTACTGGTATGTTTGCTGATGTGATTTTACCAAAACTCAATAGAATCAATAAATCGATAGCGTTCTTCTAGATCCTGAGCGAATTAATGAATATCGAAGGCAAAAACAAATGGAAGAAGAAGCGATTCGTAGACATGAAGAGGAGAAGGTGATTGCTATGACCAAACAGGTCA